TCTTTTCTGTAATGCCCAGAGTTCTGATCTTTATTTTTGTGAAGACGAGTAAGTTTATTTCTAAATTAAACGCACCAAAGACTCCACTATTTAGACTACACTTCTATAGATGTTTGCTTTTTTATAAATCAAATTAAACGATTATTTCGTTTGTTTTGAGATTTTCAAAGCCAAAATGATATTTTTTTCCCCCTCACCGTGCCCACCAAACGTGAGTAAATTTAGAACATTTCAACTACCTAAACCACAAATCCTTCAAGGTCGGTCTCAAGCTTCTTATGCTCTTAGGACAGCTTCAACGAAAACGTGGCCTCGGTATAGTTGATTTTACCCGTAATTTTTCGTTTCCTTTTTTTTTTGGAGGGGTTTGTTTGGTTTTACTTAAAACAACCCCGTGGTCCACAAAGGGGCTTGAGAAGGGGGTGGGGGGCAGAATGAGTGAATTTCTCTGGAAGTCCAATAAAGTGTAGGCATCTGGAAAGGTGTTTTACTGTTTTAACAAAAAAAAAAAAAAAAAAAAGTACGTATAAATGCTAAGATGTTGGAGACGGGCAGGGAAACTTTGCGACCCCAGATGCTGAGCATAGCGCAAACCCACGACCTCCGGGAGCGGGAGGTAGGGGGAAGGGAGGGAACTCTGCGAGCAACACGCGGTCAGTGCAGGGGCGGGTTCCACGAGCAGAACTGCTCCTTAGTTACCTGCTTCTTTCCTCCACTGGGTTTGGGGTCGAGGGTTCGCAGTTAAAGGGCAGAATAAATGAGACCATGAAGAGGGGAACCTAATTTCACCCCTCAACAACAAAACCAACTAGAGGGAGCAAAGGGTTATTTTCGCGCCACAAAAGATGGAAATGCAGGGACGGCTCGAGGGCCAATGAATGGAAACCAGCAAACGGCTCTGGCGGTGGTAGTCGACGGTGATAGGCTACTTCTGCCCACCAATCACAAAACAGAGAGACCCCCACCCCTCCCCCGCCAGGGGCGGTGTCTCTCTCCACGCCGGTTGCTCAACTTGGTCTCGTCGAGTCGGCCCTGGCGGAGCGCGGGAGCCCCGCCCCGGGGCCCGCGTTTGCGCGCCTGCCCCGCCCCGCCCCGGCGGAGTCTCTGGGTCCAGTGGGGCACTTTGCGGTCTTTCTCCGTGGGGTACCAAGCATCCCCTAGCACCGGGGAGACGGCTGGTACATTCGAGACAGGCCGGAGGTGCGGGAGGGTGGCCAAACACGCGCCACTTGGTTCGCCTTCGCGGAAGGAGGGCTTCAGGTGTGGAGTGCCGCGGAGGGAATGCTAGAGACTCTTCCCAGCCCCCACGTCTAAGCTGCCCACGCTGCTTCGCGCGGAGGGACAGGACGCGAGGCGGAGCCAGGAGGCGCCCGTCTCGCTGCAGGGATGGGGCAGCTCAGTGGTCTAGGGCCTTCGACGCGAGCCGCCGGCCGACGATGGATCTTCCCCAGTGAGCTGCAAGGATCCCGCCCTCTCTCTTCAGGCAGAGCCAGGGGGAAAAGGAAACAGCCCCATCTTCTCTGCTGGGGCACCATTTTTGATTTTAAACCAAATAGATGAAGCAGATCCTGAAGAGAGGGCACAGCCACATTACCACTTATCTTGTATCTGGCATACATAGATCACAGCCCTGGATAGCCGTGTGAAGGAACAAAAACGTTTAAGAAATACCCCCGACGAGGCCCAGGCGAAGCGGCAGCACTGCGTGTCCACCAGTGAGAAAGGCTTCTGCTCCCCGCCAGCCAGCAGGGAGTGAGGAGGGGAAGCACCGAGAATGCCCTTTACCCACCACCTTCTTTACCTGGTCGTCTTCGCTCATGACCCTTGGATACAGCAAGGGTAAAGGACCTATTGCACATAGTTTCTATGTTACACTGAACCACCAGAAACATTTTTATCATCTTTATGTCAGCAGATGAGGAGGTGCAGCTGTCCAAGGACTAAACTGGCTCTCAGTTGGAGGGACTCAGCGGTAACAGCATATACAATGGGTGGGAATTCTTTCTTCACGGAATTTACTTTAAGAACTGCAACTGCTTCAGGCAGAATTTGGAGTAGCTCATATACACAGCTATTTTCTTGTGTGGGACCTATTACAAAGCTGAAAGTTAGATTGACGTTTTCATTCTTGAAAATCCATCAGATATTTTTGCACTTGAAATACTAGTTAAAAAGCAAACAAACAACAACTACCCATCCTCTTTTTATTTAATCGTTGAGTGTACTTATCCCTCCAAAGCTTGGAAGGGATACTTGGAATTATGCACCTCTCTTTTTGATGCTTGAGTTTATATAATTCGTGTATGTTTTTAAGTTCCTTGATGGGTTATCCAATTGGTTACAATAATATACAGATTAAGTTCACTAGAGTCCCAGAAACATATTTCATCAAAACAGCACACACTTGTTTTAAATTCCAGCTGTTAGATTTGTTTGATAGTGACAGACAATCATGGGCTAGTATTTATGGAAAATAAACAGTCTACCCCATGCTTTAGAAGCAGATAGTTCCTTAAGGTCTCAGTTTTAATACCAGAAAACCCAGCCAACAATCCAGAAGACATTGTTCAACTGATTGTGTAAGCAAGTTGAAGACACAAAATTTGTCCTTATAAAAAATTATTAAGAGTTAAATGATCAACAGACTATTTTGTAAAACTTAGATGTTTAGAAAAACAAACATTACAAAATGAAAAATATTTCTCCATACAGCTGTTGATCACATGCAACAGGTACATGAAAAATAAATTTAGAACTTTTGATAGTTTGTATGCCACATAAGTCATAAACATTCATTCTTTTCTAGAACCCATGTTTGCTTTTAAAAACAAAAAGAAAAAATGAGCTCTTTTAAAAAGTTAAACCTAAAGCATACACTTAAATGTCCCCACCAAAACATTCTTTGAAGGTAGAAATCACAAATACAATTCTAAGGAGTAATACACAAAACCAGAATTTGTTCTTCTACATCAGAAAGAACATTTCACTAAACTAAATGTGAATGAAAATATTGTAAAAGTAAACTTATGTTTTAAAGGTTGCATTTGGTTGGCAGGAAAGAAAAACCTGTTAAAGAGAACAGTTGAAATAGTGATCTGACACCTTCCGGTTCCTTAACACAAAATTGAAAAATAAGTTCCTTTTAAAAGAAAAAAATGTAAATACTCTTTGTATCACAGTAATTTCTATATATTTTAACAAAGTAATCGTCATTCATCTTAATTGGAAAACATAACACTTAAGTGACATATACGGGTATGACAAAGAGAAACGAATTATATCCAATGTCATAATTACTAAAGCTGTTTCAATGTAAATCACAGACTCTTTTCTAGCATACATTGTACTATAAGTAAGAGTTCCAAATCATTTAAGATTGTTTATGTTTCCATCCTGTATAGAATTTCATTCACTGGGGGTGGGGGGGAGCATTTTATATCTTTTCTATGGAATACTTGTTAAAAACATACCACAAGTATCTGGTGCAAATGAAGCCTTGAGTAGAACACACAATCATGAAACGACACTGGGCGATTTCCCCCAGAACTGTGTTCATTTCCGTATTCCTCCTCTGCAGTTCACATTTTGTTGGCGCAGGAAGGCTCTACCGGGCCCAGACCCTTTACCATACACCCACCATTGTGCTCTTTACATACACGGGAAAGCTTGGATAGTTATGACCAAATGCGGGCAGAAAACAGGCAGAAGGAGACAAGAACAATTTCTCAAGTGCGAATACCACCTAGGCTAAGGCAGAGCGGTCTTCCTGTTTTTAAGAGTCCCAAGTTCTCCAACTAAAATAATTTAAAAGTACCAGCCTACCCCCACTCCTCCTTTAGGAACTACAGGAAGAAATCGTTTCCTTTAAACACCGACTTTTCCCACTTTGACTTCTCTCCTCCGGCCTCCGCCGCCCGGGACGCCCCCAAGCCCAAGCCCAAGCCCGAAACCCCCGCCTCTTCCCTCCCCTCCCCCACCCGTGGCCAAGCCCGCCCCCTGCCTCATTTATCCCGGAGCCTTTTCTGAATCGTGCAACCAATGGCAAACGCGAAGCTGGGAGCCACCGCAAACGCTGGCGGAGGCGTAGGAGGTGTCGCCCAGACACCCGCCCAGGACGCGGCGGGCTCCCATCCCCCACTGCCCCAGCCGGGGGCGGCCCCACTTCTCCCGTGCTCTGGCTCCTGAAGGGCGCACTGGGTGGGGCACCACTGCCCGACTCTCCCACCTTAGCCCCTTGTCGCGTTTCCGCCCTGCCAGCCCTGAGAACGTGCTTTAGGCTTTGCCGTGGTTACACTTCTGTCATCAAAAGCCACAGGGCGAGTTCAGAATCATGACTCTTTGATTTGTTAATTACCTGCTAAAAATTGAACATTTAAAACTGCGGCAACAAGAACTGAAGAATTGCCTAGTTAGCACCCTCCATCCGAACCTCCTTTCTCTCTCTTTTTTTTTAAGCTTGATTTTTTTTCCTCCCCTCCCCCTCAGGATCCGCCCCGAACAGATAACCCTTTCTAAACTCGTGTTGTGACAATCAGCTCCTCCAGCCGCGCTCCCCGCTGCGCTCCGGCTGCGGCTCCTTTAGCTTTTTTCCCTTCCTCCTCCTCCCCTTCTCAGGGTCCCTCGCCCAATCTCATTTCCCTTCCCCCTCCCCCTCCTCTCGCTCGCTCTTTTTTTTTCCCCCGAAACCCACTCTAATTGAGGCGCTGGGATTCCTCACGTGAGACGTTGATTTGTAGTTTGAACACGTGGCTCATTCAAAAAGCCGGACACTCGGAGCGGATTTTTTCCGCCTCCTGCGCCTTCCTCCACCCCTTCTTCCCTCCCTTCTGCCAGTCACCCTTCTGGGCTTTTTTATGGGGAGGCGGCGTCTGCCCTCACGTAGTGTGATATTTTCACAGTCCGCTGGCCGATGCGAAAGGGGTTGGGGAGGAAGAGACAAAAAGTAGTTTTCCCCTCCGCCCCCTCCTCCTCCGCCTTTTTCTCGCTAATCCCGCCTCCTCAGAGTTAGGAAGACTCGTTGATGCATTTGGTTTGTAGTAAGGCTTTTTCTTTCCTTTTTAAAAAATAGCTAGGAAAAACCAGGACCCTTCGACTTGATCTTTTTCGCTCCTCTTTCTTGTGCTTGGTTCTTACTGTGTGTGTTTTAACGGCGAGAAGACGAGGGGAACAAAACCCGGCGGATCCACCCATCACTGTGGGTGGTTTTAATTTTTCGTTTTTCTTCTTTTTTTAAAAACAACCACTCTTTAACAATGAACAAACTGTACATTGGAAACCTCAGCGAGAACGCCGTCCCCTCGGACCTAGAAAGTGTCTTCAAGGACGCCAAGATCCCGGTGTCGGGACCCTTCCTGGTGAAGACTGGCTACGCGTTCGTGGACTGTCCGGACGAGAGCTGGGCCCTCAAGGCCATCGAGGCGCTTTCAGGTGGGCCCTTGTCTGGCCCCGCGGGGGTGTCTGCTCTCGCCCCAGCCCTGTGCCGCCCCCCAGGCCTGCGGGGGTCAGGGGCTGGCGGCCAGGCCCGCGTCGGCCGCCTGTGTGTCCGCGCGGGGCCCCAGGCCCGGGCGAGGGCGGGGTGCGGGTGGGGAGAGGAAGCGAGGCCCGGGCGACCGAAGGCGTGGGGTCTGGGTGTTTAACTCCGCTTGGCTCCCGACCCGGCCCCCGGTGGCTCACGTCCGCCAACCGGGGCTTTGCAGGCTGAGGGCGGACGCGCTGTCAAGAAAGCCCAGGCGCGGACTCCGAGGGGAGTAGGAGACTCGGCCCGGCGCCCGAACTGGGCTTGGGGAGGCGCGACCGCCCGCACCCGACTCTCGGCGCTCGCTCGGCGCCGGGCCCAGGCGCGGGCTCCGGGCTCCGGCAGGCCGGGCCTTGGGGGCCGAGCGCGAACGCTTGCTTCTTTCTCCTTCCTTCCTCTGTTCGTTATTTATGGCGCTGGCTTCTCTCCCCCCACCTCCTGTCCCAGCCTCGTAGTGTCCTCCATGCCGCCGCGGACCGAACCCCCGCGCTTCCTCTCCACTCTGCGGGAGGCGAGCGAGTGCGACCTGGGTTCCATGTTCAGCCGCCTCCCTTCCGACGAGCCAAAAGGGCAGGTGGGCGGGCGCGGCCGGTTGTCGCCGGCGAGAGAGCCCTGGCTGCTGTGCGGGGCCGCCCGCTGCTTTTTGCGTCCCGGCCGCGGGCTGCAGCTGCGGGAGGTGGCGGGGCTCGCTGGGCGGGCGCGCCGGGTCGCGCGTGGCGGGGCAGCAGGCTCAGGACCGAATCCCCAAGGGGGAAGGCAGTGCTTGTGTCGCTCGCGTAGCCGCGTGCTTGACCGTGTGGCAGGCGCCGCGCGGACCGTCGCGCGTTGTTCCTTCCGCGGGGAGATGCAGCTCTGCACGGTCGCTCTTTTGCGCCTGCCCTTTGGTCCTCTTGCCTTGCCCACCACTCCTTGTACTCGTACTAGGGCCGGGAGAAGAAAGCCACCCCAGCACCCTTCCTGAGTTTGTCTTCGGGAGGGGGGTGGAGGGCAGCGTCGGACCTGCGGGCGTCGTGGGATTGGGTGACCGGGGAGAACGGCGCAGAGGCCGGGGGTTAGGGGGGAGGGAAGGTTGTTGCCGAAGTTTTGAGCCAGTTTCCCTACTCACCAGTAAGTTGAACATATTGAGTCTTGGGGGTGGGGGTCAGCTTCTCTCGGGGCACTGAGCCGCGTCCTGATACGTTCCTCGGAGTTCTAGGAGACCGCTGTGTCCCCCCCCTAGACTATGGCAGGGTTTTCCGGCCAGGGGCGTTGCTAACCCTTGCCAACTGTCTTCCACTTTTTGTGTGTCCGCAGGTAAAGTGGAATTGCACGGGAAACCCTTAGAAGTCGAGCATTCGGTCCCCAAAAGGCAAAGGTGAGCTCATGGATTCTTGTTCTGACCCCATAATTGGGAAGAAAGACTCCCAACATTACAGAAAACAACTTCTTTTCCTCTTAAGCGGCGTTTCCCATCTTTTCCTCCTGCATTTAATTTTATGACACGTGTGTGTGTGTGTAATACTTCCAAGGACTACAGAGGGTATGTCTGTGGCTCCTCCACTGGGTTATTGTTATTGGTATAAAATTCTTTCAAGGAAGTTCTCACAGCTAAATGTTCTCCTGCAGAGTAGGTCAGGTTGCTACAGCAGGAAATCATTTTCAAAGGGCAGTTCTGTAGGTCTAGGAAACTGTATGACGGCCTCCCCCCCCCCCCCAACCTGTAAGTATTGGATAGGCAAGAGCAGCTGCAGAGGCGTGCGGGTGTGGCTCGACTTGTACTCTGACCCCAGTTGGCAGCAACCAGTCTGAGGTTTGGGAGGCCATCCCCACATCTAAGAAGAGAGGAATTTACCTTTACCCTGTTAACTCCCCAGCCAGGACTGGAACACGTGAAGAAAGCCTGGGCTTCTCCTGCTCAAAGGGCTTTCATTCACTCCAGAGTTAGGCAGTTTCTGCAAATACTCTTTTTGTCTCTCATTCATCTCCCCCTTTAAAAATGTTTTTGCTTACAACATGAAGACCTCAGATTTGTGCTACTTAAGTGAGAGGATTGCTTTTCTGAGGAGAGCATGTGTAGTGTGCCACTTGGTAGAATGTTGGAAGGATGTGTTATATTCTGGAGTATTTTAGAGAAATGATTCTTGGAATGTGTTAATGTTCTGGAGTATTTTGGAGAAATGATTCCTTAAACGCAGGCCAAATCTTGGCTCTGTAATTCTTAACTGGAAATGTGCTCTTCTCTTATGATTTTGCATTGTGGGGTTAGTTTCTGTCTTCCCTCCCATCCCCCACTCCCAATCCGGGCCAAGCAATACACTGGAAGTTAATTTAAACTAGGACTGTGTGTCTGTTAGTTTAGGTTATGGTAAGAGTATGTGAGCTTGGAGGGGTTGGCTGTGCAACTGGTGTGGTATAGTGGGACATGGCTACATAAAGTGTTGTCATATATCTAGACTTCTAGATTGAGCTTGGTTCCAGGTAAAACATTTTCACAAGCCCTGTTTTTTTTACTGAGCTGGGTTGGATTTGGGGAATTTCTCTTGTTGATGAATTTAAATTTCCAATAGAATAATTGGAAAGCGATTCATTCATGTGACTTGACTTAGTTGCAATTACGAATTTTGGGAGGTATTATTTCACATAGGGAAATGTAATTTTTTTAGAGGTATAATCTGAATTGGTGCTGAAGGGGAAAAATTTACATTCTGCAAATTCTAACTGGTTTACATTATCCAGTCAGTGCCTTAATTACTTTCAAATTTTGAATTAAAAATAAGAAATGATTGTGTTGAAGGGCTGGCATTTTAACATTTGTGAATTTCTAATTGTAATGATTAAGTGTCTTTCTTTTTTTAAAAATCCAATTCATTGGCCTGCATGTCAATGCATATTTCTTTGACTTACACCCCTGATTTTTCCTTTCCAGCCTGGTATGAATTTCTCCCCATGTGTAGGGAATTAAATTAAAAACATTATCTAGTAAAGACTGCCTGTTTTTCTGAAGGCTTTTACCCAATCTAAAGACATACGTAATCACCTGTTCTTTTATAAGGAACAGGCGTTCCTCTTTAGGGAGGATATTAGATAAAGTGTGGCCAGCAAGCTATTTGTCAGTGGAAACTTCAGTTTATTAACAATAGGGATTAGTGTTGATTTTTCACTGGTATTAAAATGCTCAGGGTTTTAAATGATCCTATCTTACTTGTAAGCTGGAGTGAATATGTAGAAGATGAACTTTAGCTGATTTTGAGAACAATCAAATAAAATCCTTTGCTTACATTTCAGTCATTTGCTAAAGACAAAAGTAGAAATTTCTCTGTCCATGGAAGTTTGCTGGAAAATTTTATTTTAGATGAATCTTGGAGCTGTGATGTGGTTTCCTTTATCAGGACTATTTCACTCTTTGATAGACATTTGAAGAGGGCAGAGAAGGCAACCTGATGCTCCAAGTATCCAGAGCCAATGTGAAGGTCTGGGTGGGTGGGGGAATTGGTGATAGTTGAATGCCAGTATGTTAGACCTGTTCTTTCCAAGTGAGACTACTGGGCTTCTGGGTGTAGTTCTTTGTGCTTAACAGTCATTACATTCCATCCCACCATCATGTGGGCATTGGAGGCAGGTACACCCACATATGCCGCAGTGACCTTTATACCTGCTCTGCAAGGCATGTTGGGAGCGGGTGCTGAAGAATGCTTATGGAAACACTCTGAGATGGATGAATAGGCTTGCAGCACCTAAACAGGGGGGTAGTTACAGGAGGTGATTGGATGTTTATTTGGCAGGCTGGCCCAGCTCTGACTTCAAGTGTTTCTAGGCAGGGACCCTTACAGGAAGAGAGGCATTGTTGAGTTTGGTTCAGACCAAGTTTAGCTCCTGCTTACTGAAGTCTCAAGGGAATGTGGAAGGAATGTTGATTTTCTGCATTCAGATACCCTTTAGTTGGGAAGATTATAGCAGTACTTCACAGAATTTGAGTTTCCCTACGCACAAAAAGAAGATGGAGTTGGAGATCTGTAGAGTGTTGCACTGTTTGTTTCAAATATAAGACATAGCACGCAAGACTTGGTTTCACTCTGAGGTATAAGCTTAAAAAGATTTGTTCCTCTTGGGGAAGAAGGTGGGTGTGAATGGAGTTTGTGACTTTGGAAGACTGTAGTTGAGTTTGATATTCTGTATCTTGTGGGACCTTGTATATACCCCTATGTCATTTTGTATATAGAGGTGATAGTTTTTTTGTTATGCTGTGGATCACTGGGCATGGGAATAGGAATGGGAAAGTTGCTGACATTGGGGAACTGAGGGGATGGTGGTTTTAGTTCATTTTCCATGACTTAACAATTATGAACATAAGTATATTTTCAAATTTTTATGACTTATATTTTGGTTGGTTTAGCTGTTAGCATTATGATTAGGATTATTGTAGCTAAAAATATTTTTGAATAAAGGAGACAAATAGTAGGATATAGTTGCTAATATTTTCCCAAGGATTTGTTAAAATATGCCAAATCCCAAATGTCGTTTATTGTTTGCTTCAAAATAAAGTTAAGTGAATAGTTTATTTCCATATTAGATTCTAGTGCTTACCATGTAAATTGTATAGACTGAGAAGCATGTATGAAAGTTACTGGGGCTTGTAAACATCTTATTTTAAGTGACTATTTAAAAGTTGTTGCTGCATTTTGATAGCCATTAAGTATAGAAGAGGATGGGGCCTTGACCAGCAATGTGCCCCTTCATCAAGGCATGTCAGGACAACAAAAGCTGTTTCTAATGCTGAGCATCTAAATACAGGTTTGAATAGCTGTGCTGCTCTTTATAAGTGTGTACAGGTGAATCTTGTGTATTGGGTAGATCTTTCAAGCGTGCATTGATTTGAATGTTATTAAACTATTATGGCTCATGAAGAACCACAAGAAGGGTATCTTTTGGAGTGCTCAGTTTAAAGTCAGTCATACATGATTGTTTAGGTAGTTATAGATTCTGCGTTTTTAAAATTTCATATTGTCTAAGTGCCGTTTGAGAGAGTTTAAATTATTTTTTACTTCAACTTTATTAGAATAAAGTTAAATGAATATTGGCACCTGTGTGATTGTCCACACTAACAAGGAAGATGTTATGGAATCATGACATGTGCTTGGAGCCAGTGGGAATTCAGAATCTTGGCTTCTGTTTCTGGCTTTCCTTTTAATTTGTGTGATCACTTACAATCTCTGTTCATGCCAAATACCTTTATAATAAACTACAAGAGGCATATTTTTCTGAGTTTTGCCATTCTGTTTGAAATAGATAACTTACCAGCTAAGGTTTTTAAATATCTTTTGGAATTATAGAGATCCATGATTTCCCTATTTTGTAGTATGAAAGTTCAGTTGTTTTGTATGTGTGTTCATTTTGGACAGTAGCAAGAAGAAAATATTTTTGCCGTGATTCGAAATTCTTTTTTAAGAGGCACATCACTGTGCTTACTGTGTTATTACAGGTCTGGGGGCTTGTATTAAAGCAAAGTTTTTCAGCCACCTTCATATATTTTAAGTCAAGGCCTTTGTTATTGTCTTTAACAGTGTTCAGGGGCAGCAATTTTTTTAGGAGTAACTAATTTTTGAAAGTTATGAGTTATCTGTTCAGTAACTCTGGTAGTTGGTTTGGACTGGGAGGAAGGAGAGGGTTGCTATTCTTAGCCCTTTCTTTTCTTGGCTGTTGCATCTCATTCAAGATTTCAGAGTTCTAAGACAGGAGGTGGCAGTGTGGTAGCAGTGACCATTGGGCAGCATTGGCATTCTTAGACGGGCTGCCCAGCAAATTTGATATTTACAATGGAGTTGGATTGCCAGGGTGTTTTGTTTGTTTTGGGTAGACTGCTGGTAAGGGTAGTTTTTGGTCCTCTAGTAAAATTGAGGGTGTAATTCATCATGGTCAAATTGTTCTTTGACACATTTTCAGTGATAGTAAAGGAACACAGTTACAAGTATTAATATAATATGTAAATTTTGTTGCTCTGACGGGGAATGCATGGCATATGAGTGTAAGATTTTAGAGAATTATCCTGATACCATTTTACTTGATTAGGAAATTGTTTGAAGTTACTATAGAAGTAATCTTTGCTGAATGGAACTATAAGCTGAAAGAGGCCTAAATTCATGGATAGCTGTTGCATAGGAAGTGATTTCTGCAATAGAGGTGAAAATTATAAGCTTCATTAATTTGTAGTACTTGAAATCATGGAGTTGGACAGGATCACTAGAGCCTGGCACCCTAAGAGGGTCCAGCAGTTGGCAAAGCGAAGGTCAGCGAGGGTAGAGGAAAGCAAACAGTGAATTGTTTCTGGGAGATAAGTGAAGAAAAACTATGGAAAGGAGGGTATAGTCAGCTATATTG